ACCACAACTATTCTATCCCATCCTCAGAAATACAGTTCACTACTTAGACATAATCAAAGACAATAACAAAGCAACAATTGAAAACATGATAACAGAAATGACGAAAGACTTAAACGAAAACTGAATATCAAATACTTGAAAGCGAAACTACAAAGTCGCAGGAGAAACACTGCGGCTATCAAAGTTGCGAAAATGTAAAAGCGAGATAAAAACGGATAATAGCGGAAGCTAGCGATTGCTTCTCCGGGGTTGCGATAGAGTGATTTGCCCTGGCAGGGCTCCGAGGCTGCGATAGAGTACTTTTGCTGAAGGCGTCATTGGGCATTCTGACTTCATGTTCTGTTTTTCCTCTGTATGAACTCCAAAAGCATCCAAAGTACCTGAAAACAACCAAATATGCCATGCACATGCAATCCTAATGCAAAGTCGTCCTAAGTATGTAAAACACACTAAAACGACTCCTAATGAGATGAAATGTGGATGAAACAATGACAAAGTGGTGAAGAATGAATGCCTAAATCATGCAAATTATAGACATATCATAAATGGAAGTAGTCGCTCCATAAATACATGACAATCATGACTCTTCATGTCTGAAAACTTTTCATTCTCCATATCTACACAACTAGCCAAATCTGAAGAATAACCATCTAGAAATCTAATATCATGTTTCACACATTGTAATAAACTCTGTTTGGCTTCTTCTGTCAATGTATACGCTGGAAATGGAGCTTTACCCTTACTATAAATATGTAAGCCTAGCCGTAAACAAAAATTTTCAATATCCAATCTTGACATGATATTGTCTTTTGATTTACCCTTAAAACTCATGAGAGTGTTCATGATGTTGTCAAGAAATTTCTACTCTGTATGCATCACATCAATATTATGTCGAAGATTGAGGTCCTTCCAGTAAGACAACTCCCACAAGATGCTTTCCTTGTGACAATTATGTTCCTTCCCATAGCCTCGCATCTTCTTTTCATGACCATTCCCACCAACATCCTTCGTTTTTGGTGGATTTACACTAGCCAACCGCTCGTAATAAACTTGCTCCCCTGTCAAAGACTCAGGTGGATACTCGCTAGAAGCATCTATTCCTTTTAGAAAGTCTTTTCTGTTCCTACGGGATGGAAGACCATGAGGAAGAAATCTACGGTGACAATCAAACCAGCATGTCTTCCGTCCATTGGGTAGATAAAAAGACTTTGTACTTTCCATGCACACTGGACAAGACAATTTATCATGAGTAGTCCATCCTGATAACATGCTATACGCTGGAAAGTCGCTAATCGTCCACAGTAGTACTGCTTTTTGATTAAAATTCTGACTCAATGAAACATCGTACGCATCGACTTTAGTAGACCACAACTATTTTAACTCCTCAATAAGAGGTTAGAGGAAGACATCAAGACTAGCTCGAGGATGATTTGGACCAGAATTCAGAATGGTAAGAAATAAGTACTGTGAGAGTCGAAACTCGCACAATAGAATTTGTTTTAAGGGTTTCTTCAAAGAACAGATCTTTGTGAGATTCTCAAAGAACAACAGAATTCTCAATTACCGCGGACGGTGTTCTTGATTTTATTAATGAGAAAGTAATGACTTTATCGTACAAGTTTGATAGAATATGAGAAATAGGTGTTTTTGCCTTCAAAGTCAGAGCGTTTTTGATAGCCTGAAGTTGAGAGCGTTTTTTGTGTCTCCCATGTTTGTTCTCTGAGGTGCTTTTTTATAGGGTCCGAGAATATCACCTCTTGCGATATTCTCGGAAAATCCCTCTTTATCTTTATCTCGTTGAAAGAGATTTGTCTTTATCCTCCGAAGATTTTGGGATTTTTGTATCCGGTGATATCTTCGAAGATTATCGGCTAAGTCTTTCGAAGTTTTTCTGTCTAAAACGAGATCTTTCCGAGCCGTGATTAAGCTGGCCTCGGGTCATGATCGGGATGCTTGGTCTGCGGTACTTGAAGCCAAGCTCCCGAGGTGTTTTGGAGCCCGCCTCGGGATGATTTTCCAAGTCATATCCCCGAGGCGTCCTAGGTCGGGTCGGGGATTACTTTATGAGACTGCCCCGAAGCGTTCTCGACATCACCTCGGTATGGGTTCTTGACGAGAACTCCGAGGTGTTTTAGTCTGGTTCGGGATAATTCATCGATGGCTCTCGAGGCGGTGACTCATAGGTCGGCTCGCTATCCTGGGTCAAATCCGACCCCAACAAGTACTCTGTATTCATGCACATACAAGAGGGTAAATTAAATGGAGTTAGGATCACAGGCCACAACGAATGATTACGAGACATGCCAAACGGATTGAACCCATCAGTACACAACCCGAGATAAACTTTACGGGGTTCTTCGGCAAACTGGGGATGTAACTCTTGGAAATATCTCTACTCTGCTGCATCTGAAGGATGATTCATTTCTCCCTCCTTTGATTGGTGCTCAGCATGCCATCGCATTGACGCAGCTGTCTTATGGCTCTGATACATTCTCTTCAACCGGTCCCCAATAGGTAGATACCACATACGACTATATGGTACTTTGGTTCTTCGATGGTCGTCCTTAGGCTTCCATCTTTGTGCCCCACAAAATTGACATTGATCTTCTTTTTCATCTTCTTTCCAAAAAAGCATACAATTGTTCTGACAAACATCAATCGTATGATATGGAAGTCCTAAATTGCGCATCGACTTATCGGTCTGGTAATGTGAAGTGGTAGCCTGGTTTCCTTTTGGTAAAAAATCTGTAAACATTTCGCAAACGGAGTCCACCAACTTTTCACTCATATTATACTCCGCCTTGTTGTGCATGAGTCGAGATGCTAAGGATAACTGTGATTGCCCTTCACGACAACCATCGTACAAAGGATTATTTGCACCTTCTAACAAGTCGTAGAACTTATTTGAATGGTTACGGACCGGTTCTTCCACATTCTGATAACTATCATCATGATGATAGTTATCATCATACCCCACGTTAAAATTAAATGCATCGTTCACCATATCCACATATGGATCTTCTACAATATTACCCACTTCTTCATGATTTTCACTAAAATATGTCCTATACGTGTAACTCGTTCCTATATCCATATTCATTTCTTCTCCATGCTTATACCAAACATAATAATCAGGCATAAATCCTTGACTAAACAAATGAGTACTAACTCTTCTACTCGAGATGATGTGTTTTTCATTCTTGCATACACTACAAGGACAATGAAAATTTCCTCGACTACTCTATACTATTGGCTGACTATTAGCGAATGTCATGAATTGCTCAACCCATGCGACATATTCGCTGATAAATTCCCCGTCACTTCATCAAATCTCTTGTACATCCAATCTTGATAGAAACCGCCACTACCGCCGTAATTGTAGTTTTCCACCATTATACAATAAACTAACTAAAATTTTTTTTTATAATAAATCGTTTTTTTCTTCGATGTTGTTGTTGTTTTGATTTGTTGGTGAAAGAAGAGTTTGGTGAATATTTATTATATAGGCGAATATTTATGAATAATTTACGACTACAACTAATTAATTAGGTGTACCTACTTGCCAATGTGAAACACGTTTTCCAACTACTTTTTGCGACGCCTATGCGACACTTATACGACTACAGGCTGATTAAGAATTGTAGTCGTCAATTAGTCGCTAAATTAGCGACTAAATTATTTAGTCGGTAAGATAGTCGTCAATTAGCAACTACGTAACAACTAACATGTCCCTTCAATAATAGAATCGTCAAATAGTCGTTAATGGACAACTATGGTCCGACAAATTGAGTTAGTCGTAAAATAACGACTATGTTACTACTAATTTTCGTGTTGTCGCATTGTAGTCGTCAAACCGTTGCCAAATGGTCGCTTGATAATACGACTATGTTGATTGTCGCTCTTCGTAATCGTCTTTTACCTGTTTTCTTGTAGTGATAGGTTAATGGGTCGGAGGAAGAAGATGATAGCAGAATGATAGGCGGCTAGGGTTTCAAGGAAAGCATGATATGTATACAAATTACTTTTTTGCCCTTCTCATTTGTATGCCAACCACGTTGTCAGAGTTTGGTGAATGTGCATGGATGATCGATAATTCGAAATGATTGAAATGACCACACACAAAATGGATTCAAATATCAATCACTCCAAGTCTCCAAATATTACATGATATCATTGGCACACACTACAAGAAAACTGGGTTTTGGCGACTACACCAAAAGTCGTTAAATAGTCGTTAAGTGGTCATTTACGACTAAATAGCGACTAAATCATGTAGTCGTAAATCGAGAGTCGCTAAAATGTATAGTCGTAAAAATAGTCGCCAATTAGGACTACTTTACGACTAATATTTGTAGTCGTAAGTATAGTCGTAACGTAGTCGTCAAATTTAGTGACTAATTAATGACTAATTTACGATTAAATTTCACAAATATAAATAGATGTAGTGTAGTGGTAGAATAGTCGTTAATTTAAGTGACTAACTGAAGACTATGTTGCGGCTACAATCGTAATTATGTATTCATACAATATTTATGTATTTATGCAGTATTTATATTAATAATAATATTTATATTTGTTATTAATTGTTTTAAATATATTTTTGGAAAGAACTGAAACTACATTTAGTTATTATGAAACGATATTTAAAAAAGAACTATATTACAAAATAAAATTAAAAAGATAATTAAAAAATATCTTAAGAGAGCTTGTCTTATCAGAACATAATACATCATCATCCTAAAAACATAACATCTTAATAGAACACACCAACAATCTTCAAGAAAGAACTTGGCT